TGAAATTAATCTCAGTTTTATTTTCTTTGTTTTCTAAAACCAACCTCCCCTCACCCCATCTCTACCGTTGGCCTCCCCATCCCCTCTACAACCCGCCGCCCACCTCTCCCTTTCATTTGAGAATTTCTTGTGGCGACCACCCATTCTCATCTTCAAGAATGCATGGAGGAACCCGAGTGGAACTTCGGGTTTGAGTACGACAACCAAGGAAGAGTTAACATCCTCAGATCACCCTTCTTCGACGTAGGCTTTGATTTCGACGACACCGTCGAAGATCATTTGGATCGGATTCCAACAACATTAGTGGATTCCATCGACGACCACTTTTCCGTCTACACGTGGATCATTAAAGGTCGTCCTCCCGTGCCACCTCCACATCCAGCGCCTTCCTCTCCTTCCCTACGGATCTACGACACCATCGCCCTCGGAGTGGTTTCATCACTTGTGTGGTTATTCTTCTTCCAACGAACCTAGAAGTAGGTGAATGAGCGTAGCCTCAAGGTGAGACAATCGCTTTGTTAACCGCAGGATTCTAGTTGGCTTTTCATTTGCTTTACTATTTATTACCGTCGTTATTTTATAGAACTTGCTGATTTAGGTGTAAAGTCTTGTCTAAGCGTAGTTGAATTCTAAGATCTTTGAGAATGCTTCAATTGTGAACAACATTAAGATTGCAATTTCATTATTTGAACAAGATTTTATTAATCTTCTAAATCCAATTCCTGGTTTCACATAATTAATGCATACCGACTCATTCATTGTACGGTAAATCTTCAGTTAAGCGAGACATTAGTGAACCACCCTAAGACATTCTACATCAGACAATATCCGAACTTTGGGTGCAACATGCATTGATTTATTTAAGTTGTCTATTTGGAGATCAAAATTTTAACACAAGATCAAGATCTTTGTTGAGTTCACACAATGTGATGTACTTATTAATTAGATCCCTCATACATGAAATAAGATAATTTATTATTAATTGCCAACATTATCCAACTGAAGAATGCAATAAAGACATGAAAAAAACTCGGAGTGAAAGCAAGAAGTTTGTAGCGTTATATAATATGAATATTCTCAAAAGTGCCCAGAACAATTTTCAAAAAATAAAAAAAGAGTGCCCAGAAAATCGCCTTAAACAAGTCAACCTAAGATCCGAGTTTAAGGCATATTATGTCACAATTAGATAGAAAAATAGTACACTCACGTTCCTTCATCGACATTCAGTTTCATGTAATACTTAACCACGAAGATCCCAACAAGCCGTCCATAAGTTGAACCAATCATTATTCCAGGAACAAACTGACCAGCAGGAACAGCAGTTCCAAATGTCACCACAGCCAAGGAGTAAAACATAACCTGCAATAGATAAGAAAAAAAATCATAAGGGCAAGTTATTATCCAAGTTCCTGCATAACAACAAATGACTACCATCGCCTTTTCTTCTCACAGTAGCAACATGAAGATCCTGGAACATGGAAGAAAACTTAAAAATGAACGGAATACAAAATTTTGCACTGAAGGCTTTTGAATGTTTTAAGTAAACTTTTCTGTTAAATTTGTATTTTGCACAGCCATATTTCTTCCTTTAGATGGCTAGTTGTTAGACACTTCGAGACATTATACAGAATACAGGATAATGTCAACTATAGCCAAAGCAAAAGGCACAGGCACTCTTCTCTTGATCATGTTATATTAATCAATCACTGACATAACTTAAGCATTATACTCATATCATGGTACTATGGAATCTACTTAGCTGAATATAAATGATCTTTCTTATATGCAACGAACAAGTATCGTCTTTCTGTGGCCGTCAAACATCAAGCCTACTGGCGATAAGCATAATCACAACCGATCTCCGCATTTGATGTGCTTGCAGAAATTTAGGAAAAACCTTAGCTAAAATCTGATTTCAGCGATTTCGGAAAACTAACAACAATAGAACACATCAGAACATTTTTTATTGAAAGTTTTATGAAAGAAAAGACAAGATACAAGTGGATTTTCAATTGGAGAGGAAGATCCGGCTCTCCCAAGTCTCTAGCCATTGGCTAGAGCCCAAACACCTTAAGAACAATTTAATTTCAACAAACAATGCATAACCCTAACCCTAGGAAAAACTCTCTACTTAAAGCATATACAATAAAAAACAAACACCCAAACAGCCCTCCCTCAATTCTCTCCCAAATATGGCATATTTCCTTAATTATTTCCCTCCCAAATCGGGCCCCAAATATGCCCTCTTCAATTAGGAAATGTTTCCTAATTAACCCCCCTCCAAATTAGCCTCAAAATCTATCCTCTTCAATTAGGAAACATTTCTGAATTAATCCCCTCCAAATCAGCCTCAAAATCTTCCTTATTCAATTAGGAAACATTTCCTAATTAATCATCTCCAAATCAATCCCCAAATCAACCACCAAGTCTGTCTTCTTCAATTAGAAAATATTTCTTAATTAATCCCCTCCAAATCAGCCCCTAAGAGCCGGTCCAAGTATAAACTCGAAAGACCAGTCCAGGAGGGACCCGATCTAACAATACCCCCCTCCCAAAGACCCGCCTTGTCCACAAGGTGGAAAAACGACAACTTCCTCAATTTCCTTGTCATTACAAACAATGAGAACCTGAAGAGTTCGGTCCTTCCACCTGTGCTGTGGTGCATACCTCTTCTCACATTTGAAACATAGCCCCTTTGCCCTCTTCTCTTGTAGCCCCATTTATGTGAGTTTCTTAAAGCTTTTCCAAGGTCTTCCAACTATATTATGCTCCTTTGAAGTCTCCATAAGAGTACACGGTGTCGGCTCCTTAGATGCCAAATAGGTTGTGATCATCCTGTACGAATCTCCTGAGCTACTACCACTAGCCCCTCTCTCCAAGTGCCTCTGATCCTTCACTAACTAGGTTAGCTCCATAGCCTCTCTCAAATCACGAGGCCTCATCACTCTAAATGTCGTCTAAATCTCTAACTTCCCCTCCAGTATAGTCTCTGGAAGCGGGTCCAATCGGCTGGCTAGCTACTCAAACTGCTAACGATACTCCATCACTGTTCTCTCTTGCGTTAGAGCGAAGAACTGCTCATAGAAATCCCCTCCATTGCTGGTTTGGAAACGTTCCAACAACCAGTTCTTAAACTCCCTCCAGGTCTATGTGGGTTGCCTTGTATCCCTCCACTGGTATCATGCCAACGCATTCCCCTCCAAGCACATTCTGTCCTCCATCAATCTCTGCTCCTCCATGAATCTATGGATGGTAAAGTACCTTTCCACCCTGTACATCCACCCAAGTGCATCCTCTCTCTCAAAAATAGGCATCTTCAGTTTACTCACCCTCGGATCTCCTTTGTTCCCCCTGTTTCCAATATAATTTCCCATTCCCCAAGAAGGTGGTTCCACTTAGGTGTCCCAATCATCCCTTCTAAGCTCGTACCCAAATCTTTCGTCAAATTCTCACATTCTCCTTTTAAATTCAACACCCATTGGATCATAATCAAACCCTCTCCTTTCAAATTCAGTGCCCCTTCGATCATAATCATCCCACCTCCTTTCAAATTCAGCACCCTTCAATCATAATTAGCCCCTCCCCTTTCAAATTCCGCCCCACTCCTCCAAATTCAACACCCCATCTTTCATGTCGATCTCCTCATGCCTATCCTCATACCCTCTACTCAGCTCCTTAGGAATGGCTCTAAGGAAGGCATTCTCTCTTCTCCCTCCATAATCTTCACCTCCAGATCTTCCATTCACCTTATCGGATTAGGGTTTTCCCTACTTACTTGGTTGTTAGTGGCTTCCCTCGCCTCTGAAGACAGTTTGGGGTTGGCCCTTGAGCAACTTCTTCAACATCTCCTTAAAGATGAAAAATTTTCCATTAATCTTCTCGTAGACAACTAAAATTTGACTTTTAAAATCTGAATGTTGATTTTGGATATCGAAAATTTTAGATTTCAATTGTCCGATCTCACTTTCCAATACTTCATTTTTCTTCCTACCATAGGTACCCGGATTTTGGCACCACTAGCAAAAAATAGAAATTCGATATGAATTAGACCTCAAAACAACAAAAAACAGCCAGATCAGAGAGGAAACACATATGAAATTAACGAGGAAGACTTCTCTTTCAACCCAGGAAATTGCTCTGATACCAATTTTATAGGAAGTGCATGCATAAATTTAGGAAAAGCCTTGGCTGAAATTTGAATTTTAACAATTTCAGAAAACTAACGACAAGAAAATCATGAATATAACACACAAGAATTTTTTTTAATAGAAAGTTTTATGAAAGGAAAGACAAGATACACTTCAATTGGAAAGGAAGATCCGGCTCTACCAAATATCTAGCCGTCAACTAGAGCCCAAATGCCCTAAGAACAATCTAATTTTAGAAAACAACACATACTCATAACTCTAATGACTTGAATATAAGCATTATTAACCCATTTCTTTTCTAGAACTCTCCATAGCACTTCTCATGGAACTTTATCATATGCTATTTCTAAATCAATAAATATCATATGTAAATCCTCCTAATTGTCTCTAAACTTCTCCATCAACCCTCTCAATAAATGAATAGATTCCATAGTAGACCTACCCGGCATGAATCCCAATTGATTTTGAGAAACATTAGTATCATGTCGTAACCTATGCTCCATAACTCTCTCCCAAAGTTTTAAAGTATGACACAACTTAATTCTTCTATAATTCTCACAATCTTGTGCATCATCTTTATTCTTAAAAATAGGAATCAATACACTCATTCTCAACTCATTTGGCATCTTTTTACTCTTCAAAATAATATTAAAAAGTTTAGTAAGCAAAACAATTCCTTCATCTCCTAAGAATTTCCACATCTCTATTGGAATATCATCAGGTCCAACAGTTTTTCCACACTTCATTTTCTTCAAGGCCTCTCTAACTTTCGTTTTACTAATATGCCGATAAAAACATAAAAATCTTTATTTTCATTTAGAACGCTAAAGTCACTAAAGTCAATCGTATTTTCACAATCTTCATTGAACGATTTAGCAAAATATCTCATCCACAATTGTTGAATATCCTCTTCTAATAAAATCACTTTTTGATCTTCATCTTTAATGCACTTCACTTGAACTAAATCCTTACTACTCCTATCTCTTTATTTGGCTAATTTATACATATATCTTTCGTCCTTCTTAGTATCTAATATATTAAATCATGATGTATAAATAATACATGAAGTACTAGAAAAAATAAGAAAAACACAACCAAATACACTAAAAATCCCTTCTTCAAAATTCATCTAGAGGATATAATGGCAGCGCCCCTCATTGACTACTATTTAAGAAACTAAAATACTCACATCAAACATGAGTCATTCATTAAAATCTTTGATTGCCATTAAAAATTCTTAATTTGGGCAAATTGACGAGCTTCCAAAAAAAGGAGTTTAAAATAAATTATTATTAATTATCATGAAATTTGGCTTTTATAATTTATCTAGCGAGAGGCCCCAAATGTACTTTATCATCCATTAAGCTGGCATTTTGTTTGAGTCACCTGGATGTATGAACCCAATTCATTTGGATGCATAATTTTTTGTGTAAGCTACCCATTAAACCAATTTTTTTTTATGGATTCAAAATATTCTGCCATTATTATGATATTATATCATTGTTTCATTGAGATATGTGATATTGTGATATAAATATTGATTTTTGAGCAATATAATCAGGGGTTTTTTTATGTGCCCTTACACTCTAATTCGTCTATTCTTTATCATTGTGGTTTTACTTATTATTATAATCACTCAATGTATAACATTATACATATTATTAATCACTAAATTTATTAGTATCTTAACTGTTATATTAAGTATATGATTTTTTATGTATCACTCAATTTGTTACGAGATATTGTTTTTGATGTGAAACATAAATGCCATGTACTTGCCTAGGTGGCAAGATTAATTAAATCCCAATCAATTTGGGGAGAGAGAATGAAAATCTGAAATTAAATTTCAGATTAAGTGGAATTGGCGGGATGAATTTGAATTTAAACTCAAATTTAATGGGGAGAATTAAATTGGATGAGAGGGAATTGTGGGAGGTAATTATGGAGGCTTAATGAGCTGAGCGGGCTAGGGGAGAGGCGGCGGCAAATGCTGGGCGGAAAGGGGTGAGGGGAGGGAGCTTACGGAAGAATGCGATCCGGATGGATTCTCCTTGAATTCTCACACTAATTGATCGCAAAGAAAATTTGGAGGAAGGTCTAGAACTCACAAAGAGATCTAGCTCTTCTCAAAACTCACTAAGAGATTTGAGAGAGAGATGCACTCACAAAGAGAACACAAAGTAGAGAACTCACTAAGAGATCTCAAAAGAA